AAGCTTGCATTCGGTTCATATTTCTCAATAGTCCAGGAATAATGACTTTAGACCTTTCACACATGGGGGAATCAACCCATCCGATGAAGCGACAAGCATAATCCTTCAAAAAGGGGAAAATAACAAATGTTATTTGATTACAAATCAAAATGGGTGCAAACGGATTTCTTTACCTTTTGAGGGCAAGCATAGAAACGTCTGCCTGGGTTCTTCGGTGTCCATGAGCATTTAACAACAGCAAACTTACCACAAAAATAGAGAACCATCGTGTAATTAACTGACAAGACGGCCGTTAACAAAGAGAGATGAGAGAAGGAAGAACAACTTGAAAGTTACAGAACAACGTTTGGGGAAGAACTTGAACGTTGGGGAAGTCTCTATATATTAGTTCAGGAATTGTAAAAATGGTCCCTCAAGTAAAAAGACATTTATGCCCTCGTGTGCAATGCACGTGAGGGGTTTAACAGCCACAAACAAACATAAGTTAACTCCAGGGACTTGTTCCACAAACAAACCTCTCAATAAGGACCAGAAATCCAATTTTTAAAAGGTTTGGACCATATCCACAAAAAATGACAAACCACAGGGACCATTTTTGCATTTTTGTCTTTATACAAAATTACAAGAGAAACAGAGATAAAATTCACAACAAAACAAATTATACATTAAAATGGTTTCATATCAACATACTAGTTTCATTTTCCTTTTCCTTCGTGAATACTATAAAAATAAAAACTCAAGCATTATTTAGTTGGAATGGGAAATCCCATTTATATAGTTTATAACTACAAACTACCATGTCGAAGTAACCAATAAGAAAATATATATCAACAAACAAAAAAACCAAAACACACACATACACTCAAACACACCAAACTCTACATGATCACTAATGTAATTCTAGTAGTTAGAAAAACTCCAATAACAAACCTTTTCATGATTTTATCCCAAATTTTTTCGTGGTGTCAACTTTCATAATCGATATAATCATCAATTAAGTCCAAAAGGGTATCGTCCATAATTTCTTCAAAGATTGAATCATCGATTTCAAACACTATTTCTCGAGAGTCCGGCCGAAGATCCATCCATGTTCTTGAAATCCCCAGATCTTTCTTTACAATATGATCCAAAGATAGTGGATAGTTGCTTCTTTGATTCAATTCAATTCTTTCCCATATTTCATTTATCAAATTCACGCCTTTGGGAACCGATTGAATTCTTATTTTGATGAAATCGAGGTAACAGTCGCATACCTCCTGGAGAATTTCATTGGTTGAATCGAAGAGGAGTAATTGGTCATGAGAGGGTCGATTGGAAAAGATTTCTACTTCGTGGAATAAAGATGAATCGAGTATTTGGAGTGATGAAAGCCATCTTTTTTCAAATTCATCCCAGTTGAGATCGGAAGCTAATAACACGGCTTCAATGTATTCAAATGCGGATTCTTGATTCTCAAGACAGTTTCTTGAACATGTTTCTTGATCTTGAAATTGAATGCAGAGTGGTTGGATTGCAACATCGACTGTAAAAGTTTATACCGATGTTAGTTTAGCAAAGAAAGTTTGGTAACTCAATGTTTCTTTCAATAGGGAATGAACTTTAGTCATAATAACAACATATTTACATTTATTTACTCATAATCGCAACACATTTACACTTTCTTTACTCATAATACTGCTATTATAGGTAAATAAATGTAAGGTAAAAATTAATTACACTGCTTATATTAGTAGCAATAGCAAAGTAGAAAAGGTGGTTGCTTACCATATCTAGAGGTGGTGTTTGCAGGGCTGATTTCATTGTCTGAAATTAGTGGCTCAAGAACAGATACAGGACTTGGTCTCAATTTTTCTTCCGGTGAAAACTCATTTTCTTTAATCTTCATTGGAGATGAAAACTCATTTTCTTCAAGTGAATTCTGGAAATTAATAGAAAGAACGTTTAATTAATGATGGAAATTGATGATATAATGGTGTCGAATTTTATAAAATAATTGCTTAGTGTTGGTCAAAGCGGACCGGGTTGACCCGTCAATACTTTATTGTCCATTTTTTTTCCATATTTTATAATGATTTATTCGTTAAAAGCAGGGCTAAATATAAGAAATGTCAAACTACTTACATTTATTTGTGTATTACAACATCATATCTTCATTTTTTTTTTCTATTACATCATTGAACTTCTAATTTTTTTCTTACTAATACAATGTAGTTTGAAAGATCTACCCATATGTTTAACGTTTTCATTTTGTGGGGCCCATTAATAAATGAAATCATAGATAAATTTTGAACTATAAACATACGTGGAAATGAAAATATTACCGATCTCGAAAATTCAGGAGATCTTTCTTCATCCAATACTTCAACATTCTCATCATGTTGTTCATCATTTGCACTTTCTGAAGAACTACAATGTTCACAAAAAACATCCATGACTTCCATTTCTTCTTGGTTTTGTGGTTTTTCAATCTCTATGGCTTCTACAAAAGAACCAAAACCAAATGTCAACGCCATAAGTCTTTCTAATTTTAGCAATGTGATGAAGTTTTCATATACTTATTGGCAACAATTTTTTTTTACCCATAATAACAACGTATTTACATTTCTTTACCCATAATGGCAAGGTATAGACAATGTATTTTAGTTTTTTACTCATAATAACAATGTCACATTACATATTGCTATTATGATATAGAAATCAAACTACTTTGTTATTATGTGTATGTTGCTAATTTCCACATTACCTTCTGGATTTGAATCTTCTATTATAGAACACGGGTCACCTTCCACAAATGTATCAAGATTAAGTTCATCATGAACTTTCAAATTTTCATCAAGATTGGAACTATTTACGCATGGTTGACTCTTCTCATTGACTTCAGTATCCGAAAGAATCTTCCCAAGAGTTCTTGGTAGCCTCTCCATCATCAACTCTGCATCATCATCACCATTGCTTAGCATCTCTGATAGATGTTTCTTGGCCTCCAAATAGATCTTTGATATATGACTCCTGACATCATCATTTTCACTCAACTTTGAAACCCTTTTTTCTACCCTTTTAGCAAATCTTTCGGTATAAAAATGGTCTCGATTTGGAGAACTCCATCCACTAATTGCTTCAACACTTCTTTCACTACATCCTGGTTTTGATTGCTCTTTTCCCATCGCGTTTTTAAACCGTTTTTTAATTTCCATAAACGAAAAATGGGAAATGATTCTTTCACTATGAACATTATTATCAACTTTTAATCGGTTTTCGAGAGAATTCGGCTTCAAAATGACAATTCTACTTGAACTCAAAGGGCTATTAACATCATGTGACTTGCTCCTCCTTCTAAAGAAGTTTTTGTGTTTACGATTGCTCGGCTCATTTTCTAATGAGATTGAGCTCGTTATTGACTTTGACTTTGACTCTTGGTCTTCGTTTAGCAAAAGTGGGTTTTGATCTTGAAGGAGTTTTAAGAACAATTCTTTGTTTGAGGTTAACATTTGAAACGTATCGATCAAATCTTTTGAACTTTTGGTTTTCTCGTGATCTTCACTAGATTTTTCATTCATGAACACTTCAATTGCCGCACTTAGTTTCTCTTCAACAAATGAAAAATTACGATTTTGCCCTTCATCGAGATCACTGTGGCGAGTCTGATAAATCATCAAGATTTCTTTCATTATAGCTTCAAGATCATTTAAAGATATGCCTGGTGCTTTTTCTGTTTGATCTGTGGAATCTTGCTCACTGATCATTTCTTCTTCCATGAGTTCCTTCACACTTGTCTTTACAGCATCAAGTGTTGAGTTCTTGCTTTCCCCAGTGTCCTAAGGTTTAGACAATAAACCGAGCATATTGCATGTAAGAATTGTATGGATAATCAAAAACCAAAGAAAACGAAAATAAAAATAAAAAACATAATATAAACATGGATCAATAATGTGCTAATATCAAGAATGATTGTAATTTTGCAAACATTCAAGAATATTACATTATACCCTCACCTCAATGCTTACATGACTTTCTTTAGAATCCGTGATCAAATTCACTCCAGAGGTAGATTCAGAAGCTATGAAAAATACAAGAATCATTAGTAATATAACAAGAAAAAGTGTGTTTGGTCATAATTAGAAATAAATTTCGAAAAAGTTAAATGCACATTTATCAAAATCGTTCCTAATTTATGACACAAAGTAGCTTTTTATACAAAATATGCATCGAAGCTTTCATTTTAGAACCAAAAAATGCAATAATTAACGGTAGCCTCCGGTTGAAACATGGTTGCATAATTAGTAGAAAATGAAACATTTTTGCATAATAAATAAATTTATGGAATGACACTTGATTGTTTTGCATATTTCATATAGAAAACCACTTTGTTGCATAAACTGGGAAAAAAATGAAACGTTATTGCATAAATTATAGAATACAATAGTGTGCTTGTTTTTTTTTTTTTTTCTAACTAAACAAGATGCTTACCAACATTATCTTTGATCACGAGCTTTCTATCTGAAAGTAGCCTTCTAGTGGTTCGAACATGGCGGAAGTCAAAAAGACCAATTAATCCCCACATACACCCTGCTTGATCTTTATTTTGTTGTGTGTGAAGTCTTTTTGATCTTTTTGCCATTTTTAAATGGGAGTTCTTCAACTTTGGCTAATGACACTCAGCCTGATATATATAAAAAAAATGCATCGAATACATGAGGATGTGTTATTGGATCTAAAGCCTTAATGCTACTATGATGGTATTTACTATTTGTTTTTTTCCTTATTAGTACATAATACTTTGAAAAATCGACCTAATTATAGTAGTGAAATTAGTTTTTGTATTTGGATATGCTACAAGCCTATGATTTTTTTTTTCTTTTTTCTTTTTGCATACAAAATGTTGTAATAGGAAAAAAGAAAATTAAAGTAGCAGACTATAATAAACAAATAAATGGATGTACATTAGTATTTGAGAAAATGATGGCATACTTGGGGATATGGAAGGAAACACAAAAAATGAGGGCAAATTTGTAAAATGTTAGAACTTAATGGGGAAAGCCTTTCCCTGCTTTCTGAATTAAGTCGTTTTTTTTTTTTGTGCATTAAGTAAAAAAGGCACACTCATATATAATTATATATCTTATCGGATTAATCTATAGCATACCTAATGGCTCTTCTTAATTTTCTGATTGCATTATCATCTTTGTCTTAAATTTCACAATTAATCAAATAAACATGTATACAATGAAGGCAACATACAACATGACAAATGCAATAATGAAATCATTAATTTACAGAAGGCAAGATTTTGATTGAAAGTACCTGAGATTTAGAGGTCTTTGATGATAACAAGAAGAGCCAAACAAGAACTATGCAGCTGGCAAATGCTCTTTAGAGAAAATCAAGAAATTCCAATTTGAAACACAAGCTTTACAACAGAGTAAAGTTCAAGGAAGTGTAGAATTCTTTAGGTGGCAAGGAATCATAACTTTTTTCCACTTTTTTTTTTCTTCTTCTTCTCTTTTTCTCTTTACACCCTCAAATAAAAAGATTCATATTCTTTGTTGTCAATTTCACTCCAAACTTTTGAGAAAATTACAAACTGGTTTTCTTCATCAAGGTGATTGGGTGCCGAATTACTTGAAGAATGTGATCATCAACACCTTAGAAGACATGCAATCTTGCCTTTCAAGAATTTGAAACCCCCCGATTTTTACCAAAACCCATGAATCTTGAAACTTAATTCAATTTGGGTATTTTAGTAAAACCCAATCTCATCAATGTGATTGGAAGTCAAATTACTTGAAGAATGTGATCACCAACACCTTAGAAAACATGCAATCTTTCCTTTCAAGATTCTGAAACCCTCAAAAAGTCAGCAAAACACAGGGTTTAAAAAGTCAACATTTACTAACGAACCCATGAACTCTGAAACATAATTCCATCTGGGTATCTCTTATTTTCAATGTTTTTTCATAAAATTTCAATACCCAATCGAAATTTTCTGTAAATGTGAGGAAAGACACAATCTTTATGCTTCAAGAAAGCTTATAATATGATGAAGGTAGCAAAAACGTGAGAGACCCATATCACCATATGGATTAAACACGAAATCCACTCATTATATACACAAATTCGGAAGAAATTTGTAATGGCGATGTGACTATGAACAAACAAAAACGTTAAGAAGAAGGAAGAACAACAGGCTACCTCACTTTTTTTGCGATTTTGTTTCAAGGTAAAGATGGTGATGGTGATGAAAATAGAGTGAGGTTTGGAAGCGGAAAGTAGACACCTAGTTTTTGCATTGATGAAGTGGGGTCATAATTGATTCATCACCCTCATATACACACTGAATTCACGCTGAAAATACACACATGGAAGTTTATGAAAGAGAAAGGAAGCTTTGTACTAAAGTTTCCTATGCTTTTTCTCTTGTTGTTTCTGCAGTTATTCCATGTTTGATCATCATCAACACCCCACCTGTAAGTCTGCCATATATCACAGTTCACAAACAACCACGCTCATATTGTTTTATGTATA